CGAACTGTCTTGCTTGCCCCTTACTCTTACTACTCTGAGTAATACTTGAGAAAGTTTCCAGTTATGCAGCTAATGATGGAGCCAAGGTTTAAATTAAGCTCTCTGGTATAAAACTTTTTTATTTTTTTGGGTGGTACCAGGGATCAAACTTGGGACCTTGCGCTTGCCAGGCAGGCGCTTGGCATAAAACTCTTCATTAGATGAAAATGTAATTGTAGGGTTATTATAAAGAAATCTTCTAATAACTTTAAAAATGGAAAGGATTGTGGGCTGGCCAGATAGCTCAGTAGATTAAAGCTCAGTAGACTAAAGCCACATACACCTTCCTCTATCACATGAAAACAGCCCTTCAAATACGAACCAAGTTCTAATTTCTATGACACATTCACACTTTACTTCTCTGTCAAGCTAAAATGTAATGATCTTTAGGAGTCTTGATTACTACTTGTTTGGTACAGACCTGCTTAGACAGATGCAGAGACGGGGTTCAGTCCCAGGAGTACCCTTCCGCCTCTAGCCCCACCCCTGGGGTGCACTGAGAAGGCATTTGAGACTGGGTGTGGTGGACTGTGGCTGAAGCCTGTAATCCCAGAGCTTGGGAGGCTGAAAACAGGAGGATCATTATGAGTCCCAATTGTATAGTAAGACCCTGTAGAACCTGTACTAAATACATTTAAAAAAAGGGACAGATTGTTTCATGGAACAAAGATTATGAAACAAATGATAAAAGACTTTATGTTGGAACTAATTACTAAAAATGGTAGGAAATTATTGCTGATTATGCTTTTTCCAGTAAAATATGGTTTATCAAGAAACTTCTGGAAGTTTTTGTAGATGTGCTTGGCATACATTTGAAATTGCATCCAACAGTGTTAAAGGGATAATGCAGGGGGCCTGCCCAGTAGCTCAGTTGTTTAAGTGCCTGCTTAAACAAAGCCCTCAAACTCAAGCTTCTGTGGTTCGAACCTAGACAGTCACTGCAAACCAGAAATGCCCTAAAGGCATTTCAAGCCTCCAAAAAAAAAAAAAAGGGTAATGCATGTGTACATTGCCACATACATGGAGAGGAATGAATGAATGATCACAAGTGTACATGTCTACCCACTGTCTTACATAAGAGTTTTTAAAAGGTCTTGTTATGAAATACAGTTGATAAGGATGCTGTTCTTTTTAAAAATATATTTTAACATACAATCAGAGGCCAGTGCTTCTCTTGTGGGATGGAGAGGTCACATCTAAGTTTATAGAATGATGCAGTGGAAGAGGAGTAAAGGGCCGAGCATATGGGGTTTGGCCTCTAGGCATAGACTGGGTGTGGATCAGTGAAGCAGCTCAGGTAGAAGGGTGTATGTTTCCTCTAGGAGGGACGGGTTGAGGTTGTAGTGGAAAGTGAGGGTGAGGAACGTGTGGAACATGGAGATATGAAGTGATCATTGGAGGAAGTGAGCTTTTAGAAGTAAAGCAGTATTTTGCTGTAGGCAAAATGAGTGTGTTTGAAATAATGAAAATTTAATCAACCTGGGCGTTGAGCTTTCCATTATGCCTTACTCCACTCAGTTCAGCTAGTAGTGTGCAGGCTCAGAGAAGAGATAGTGAGTTTTTCTAAGGGCAGGTAGAGTGAATTGGTTGACACAGTCACCAAGCAAGTAGTAATCGAGACTCCTAAAGATCATTACATTTTAGCTTGACAGAGGAGTAAAGTGAGTGTGTCATAGAAGTTAGAACTTGGTTCGTACTTGAAGGGCTGTTTTCATGTGATAGAGGAAGGTGTATGTGGCTGTGAGGCACCGGGGCTCCAGGGATGTCAATGAAGAAGAATGGGTGAGTAAAACAGGTTTTTAAGATTGGTCACTGTTGGAGGAGAATGAGGTTGGAATGAAGGGTTAGGTCACTGGATAGGAATTAATAAAAGAACTGAGCTGTAACTTGTCTGATGTTTCTTGATTGCTAATCCTACTGCTGGTTGCTTGAGATGCAATGATTCGTCCTAGTTGCCCCCAGAAAGGTTCACCCAAGGCATGCTGGGAGAGGAGAAGTGACAGTGAGGCACAAATGGGATGCAGATCCTGATTCTGTGTAGGCAAGGACAGCGGTGTTAAAGCAGATGTGGTGGGACAGTTGTGACGGCTAAGGCAGGTGACCAGTGCTTTGAGAAGGTGATGAAGATAACAGAATCCTCTTTAGCTTCTGGGCAAGAGACTGAGTTAGGTTCAGAGAGATATGAAAGGGTTTGGAGATAAGCCCCTCCTGTGATAGGGACTGAGGAGGCTTCAGCTGCTAGTGGGGCTGTAGGTGTGGGTGCTGAACAAGAGCAGCGCAGTCTTGTCTCGGGTGAATGTGGGCAGCCAAGGCTCCTGTAGGACCCCTTGACCTTCAGGCACATCAGGTTGGGATGTGGCTTGTTGGGGCAACACTGAATGCTTCTGAGGTAAGAGTGGTACTCTTGTGCCACCTTCCTAAAGCTGGTCACGGATTGTGCAGATATTAGTCTAAAATCAGTTATGAATCTATGGCCTATATGCAGCAACAGGCTGTTTGTGTTACTGAAAGCTCTAAAAGGTTTGCCATCACTGCTCTAAATTAATGTAGTTTTTTCCCTCCCGAATAGGAACAGCTTTTAGATTGTAAAGGTGAGGATGGATGGAATAAACTTTTTGACTTGATTCAGTCCGAACTTTATCTAAGACCTGATGATGTCTACATGAATATCCGGTTAGTGGAACTGTATCGTTCAAATAAGAGATTAAAGGATGCAGTGGCCCACTGCCGTGGGGCAGAGAAACATGCAGCTCTACGTACAAATCTGGAGTGGAATTCATGTGTTGTGAAGACCCTTAAGGTAGGTGAAGCTGCTGGGTGCAGCGTGTGTACTGCAGTAACAATGCCCTCCAAACTCTTGAGTGTCTTTCATTCATGCAGAGTGATTATAAAGTGAAACTCACATAATTTCAATTTATAATGGATAGATTGGAGAGGAAGTATGACAAATACATACATATTTTTGATGTTTTTACTTTAAGGCTGGTATAAAAAAAATGTAGTTTTAGAAATGTGATAGGAGTGGTCCAAAAAACTTGTTGGGATAAAATACTCAGTTTCTCTCAAAATTTGATAATTGTATAACTCAGTGTTCTTTGCACAAAATAGGAATATCTGGAATCTTTACAGTGCTTGGAGTCTGACAAAGGTGACCGGCGAGCAGTGAGCAAGGACTTGCTCCTGGCCCATACTAGCCTGATGCTCCTTACACTTTCCACCAGAGACGAGCAGGAGGTCAGGGAGCTGCTGGAGAGGTATGTGGGCTTGGAGGAGGTGTACAGCACAAATGTGGGTTACTTGGTCTAAATTTACTTGCAGCATCATTTCTCATTGTGCTCAAGAATTAGAGTTAATACTATTAAATACTTGGAGAGAATTGTATTTTACTTCCTTTTTGATTGGGATGTTGAGATACAGTTTTATGCGACTTTGAGACTTTGATTTTCAGAGAACTTTTAGTTTAGTTTGATTTAAGTTAGATTTATGTAGCTGGGCATGGTGGTGCTTGTCTGTAATCCCAGGACTTGGGAGGCTGAGGCAAGATTGTTGTGAGGTCAAGACTAGCCTGAACTACATGGCAAGATCCTATCTCAAAAACGACTAAGTAAGGGGTCCGGGGAGATGGCTCAGTGGAATAAGTGCTTCCCTGGCAAGTGCAAGGGCCTGAGTTCAATCCCCGGTTCCACACACACACAAAAAAAAAACAACCCCAAAAAACTAAGTAAATTAGCTTTATAGGGTAAATAATCCATTTTGATATGCTTAAAAAAAAGTCAGGCATTAAAACAAATAGATATACACATTTTATTTTTATTATTAATTAATTTGTTTGGAAACAGGGTTTCTCACTATGTAGTTCAGGATGACCTTGAATTTACTGTGTAGTCCAAGTTGTCCTTAAGCACACAGCAATTTTCCTGCTTCAGGCTCCCAGGGCCTGCACCACCATGCCCAGTTATACTTAAAAAAAAAAAAAAAATTTTTTTTTTGTAATACGTCTTTTTTTTTTTTTTTTTTTTTTTTTAATTCAGACCCTTGCGCTTGCCAGGGAAGCGCTTACTCTACTGAGCCATCTCCCCAGCCCCATTTAATTTGTTTTTGAAAAAGGGTAACTTTGAAAATTAGGGAACAGTTCTTTATCTCTTATGAGAGGCAAAGTTCAGATATACAGGTGCAAGCACTTAATGTCACTAGTATTACAGGAAACACTGTTTTAGCTTTAGAAATGAATTGAAGGCATGGATTTCCTTTCTTTTTAAACTTGGATTTTTGGGAACCAGCACTCTATGAAGTCCATTAAACGAAAGCATCACTTTGACTTGCACAAGGGTGTGAGTTGGGCGCAGGGCTGGAGAGGTCTGTGGCCACCCATGTGGCCTGCTGTCTGGACTTGGACTGGGGCTCTTTGGCAGCCTGGTCTCTGTGGGTGAGTGCTAGCTGTTGGCACTGCAAGAGCAGCATGCGTCTCTGACAAGACCATGGCCAAAAGCCAGCCTGTTTGACCCTGAGGAATGCCCTCCTGATGCCTGTGGTACAGTTTGCGTATTTCACAGTACCTCACTGAAGTATTATAGGGTTAGGTAGTGGTTGTGCAAAATTGCTTAGTTTCCTGACGATGTAGGGTAAGGGCAGAGTTCAGATGAAGTAAATTGATACAATATTTAGGATGCTTTGTTTTATGTAGTTTGTATTATCAAAGTTTTTGATCATAAGATCCTCATACCTTTGAAGATCCCCAAAGATCTTTTTCTTTTTTTTTTTTTTTGGTATTTAAGGGAAGGGTCTACAGGGTGTTGAGGGTTTCACAGCTAGATCGGACTTGTAGTGATCCACCTGTTTACAGCCTCCTAAGAGCTGGAATTAAGTGTGCGCCACCACACCCAGTCTCAGTTGCCATCTCAGCACACCCTGGGAGTGGGCTGGCACGGGAGATCCAGGATCAAACCCCCAGCCCCAGCACCTGCTTTCAGGCCCTTTAATCTGCTGAGCTATTTGGCTGGTCCTCAAAGATCTGTTGTTGTTTTTTTTGCAGAACTGGGGATTGAACTCAGGCTCTTGTGCTTGCCAGGGAAGCGTTTGTTCCACTGAGCCATCTCCCTGGCCCCAAAGATCTGTTTTTAATGGGTTATTACCATTTATCTTACTAGAAATTAAAACTGAGAAAGTAAAGATATATTTAGTATGTAATGGGCTTTTCTTTTTTTCTTTCAGTCTTTTTTTTTGGCACAACCAGGGATCGAACTCAGGCCCTTGCGCTTGCTAGGGACGCACTTACTTTACTGAGCTATCTCCCTGGCCCCTTATTTTTCAATAAGTAACAATAAGAACATTTTACTGAAAGATAGTTATTTTCCAAAAGAACAAAAAAGTAGTGAGGAAGTGTACTGTTTTTTTTTTTTTTTTTTTTTTATTTTCTTTTCTCCTTTCCTTCATCCCAGTGGTTCTTTGTCTTTGAACAGTTTCTTTTTTTTTTGGCAGAACCGGGGATTGAACTCAGGCCCTTGCTCTTGCCAGGGAAGCGCTTATTCCACTGAGCCATCTCCCTGGCCCCTGTTTTGTATTTTTATAATCTCTGTAGTGACTGGGTTCGTGGCACTCAGCTGGATTTCCATTACCTTTGTTCATTCTGTTAAACTGGTACACATCTTGAAACCTCTGGCAAGTTCAGGTGAACATACAGGAGAAAATAAGAGTTTCTGAAAAAAACAGAAGTGACAGTACTATTGTGAAAGTGTGGAGCTTCATGGATCTCTTGATGGGTCTTTGGGGACCCCTAGAAATTCCCAGATTTTCTTGTTGGAAGAAACCTCTGTTGCACTGATTGCTTTATTATAAGCTGCTTTGTATTTGTTTTTACTTTTCTTTCTCTTTTTGGGGGGAGGGGGGTACCGGGGATTGAACTCAGGACCTTGAGCTTGCCAGGCAAGTGCTTATTTTACTGAGTTATCTCCCCAGCCCCTGTTTTTGCTTTTCTTACAAAGTGAAGATTTCTGGGCATCATGAGGATTTAGAAACATGAATTAAAATATAGATTACAAATAGTGGAGGGCTGCTGAGATGGCTCAGTGGTTTAAAGCACCTACTTAGAACATGCTTAGCAAAGTTACAGGGACCGCGGTTCAATCCCCAGCACCACATGCCAGCCAGCCCCGACCCTGGTGGGCTGAGCTGGCCACACACACACACACACACACACACACACACACAAATAAATAAAAAAAAAAATTTTTTTTTAAAAAATAGTGGAAAGAAATATAATTTAAGTTTGTACTTAACTCTGTTGTAAGAAGAGCAGCTATTATATTGATACTCCAGTATCTGTCAGTTTTTTGCTGTACTTTGGAAATGGCATGTGTGTCATTTGAGAAATTGCATCTGTGACTTATGAAATGGTATGGATCAAGAAGAAACTGCAAATAATTTTCTAACTTTACCCTAGTTTATACAAAATACTATCTGTAATCTCTTTTGTATTTTATATCTTTTATAAGATTGGAGGGCAGGAAATGATAATTTTGGAATAAGATATTCTAGAGGTTGAAGTATAGAAAGTAATCAAGATAAAAATGAGTACTAAATGAGAATTAATAGGACTGCCAGTGTAGAAGATGAACCTTGGAAAAAGCTTGTTTCGCGTTGACTGTGAAGCCTGTTATTTGTGATGCAGTAAGCGTTGACTACTGTTTGACTTTTTAATATTGCAGTTTTGATAGTGTCCTTCAGTGTGTGAAGCCTTCAGTGGGGGGGAATGACGAGCTGTCAGTTGTCTTCCAAGAGGTGAAAGGACACTTCTACCTGCACGCCGGCTCCTTGCTGTTGAAGATGGGTCAACACAGTGACATCCAGTGGCGAGCCCTCTCCGAGCTGGCTATGTTGTGCTATCTCATAGCATTTCAGGTGAGCCTTTTCCAGTTAGGTACAGGGGACAGTCCACCAAGACTTGTAATGGTCTCATGGAGGTGTGTTCTGGTACGTAATGGAAGTGTAAGAGAAAGTCTGTGGAATTGAAGTTAAAATGACTTTAAATTGAAGTTAAAACTAGTTTAAACTATTTTAAAGTAGTTTAAAATAACAAGGAGTACACAGTACTGGCCAGGCTAGTGAAATAGGTGTGTAGCAGTGTGTATTGCTATAATTTAGAGACCACTTTGAAGAGTTTGATCTTGTTACTCTGCCATTGGCTGGTAATAATAATAAACACTTAATTTCAAATACAGATAAAGCTATATGAAAAAGACAATAGGGCCGGCCAAATAGCTCAGTGGATTAAAGCACCTGCAAGCGGGCGCAGGGGCCAGTGGTTCGATCCCCGGGCCTGCCATGCTGGCCCTGCTCCCGCAGTGTGCTGAAACGGCAATTGAGACTGGGCGTGGTGGCATGCTCCTGTAATCCCAGCTCTTGGGAGGCTGTAAGCAGGTGGATCACTGTGGGTCTGATCTAGTAGTGAGACCCTGAACACCCTGTAGGCCTTCCCTAAAATT